ACCCACCGGGAAGATCAACAGCTACCAGGCCGAGGCGGCCAGACATTCCGAAAAGCTGCGAGGTCAGGTGCGAAGGATGGCCATTTTTTGATGGAAGAGCCTATTAATTATGGATGAGTTAGGGGTACACCCATTTATAATGGTGATTATTAATGTTACATTAATCATAATAATGTTACATAATGATGATTATTTATATAATGATGATTATTAATGCTACATTAGTGATAATAATGTTACATAATGATGACGATGAGTTATATACTGGTGATTAGTAGATATAAGGAATCATTGTTATTAATCACCATTACGTAAAATCATTTTTATTTTTATTATATCAGTAATAATAGTGATATCTGAACGAACATCATTACTAGGGAGTATGAATAATCAGTATTAACCGTGGTAATGATTAGTAGGAGGAATCATTATTATTGTTGGTGTTCTGATTACTATTATTTGGATAAGGAGATATAAGGTTAAATTATTACACAAATTAGGTGCTATATGGTGCTATTATTAATAAACCACCATTATGTAACATTATTATTATTGTATCAGTAATAATAGTGATATCTCCAGCAGTCACCAACCCTTAGGAATGATGACTTTCCCACCACGTAGAAGTAGTGAGCTAGTTACTTAGGGTTTTTTTGTGAATATTGATATCATTGCTGTTGCTGATTGAGTTTGTCTTGGTGATGAATCTTACCATGTATGGATTATGTCCTTGTTGTCTTGATAATTGTTGGTGATTGATATTGCCCGAGTTGATGATGATAATGATATCGTTATTGATATCAATGGTAACGATAAAGATTTGTTGTTAATCAGTAACAATAACAACTAATAGTTGCTATCCATAAATAAGAAACATCATTGATCACTAACGATTAACAATTCTTAGTTGATAATCGACAATGAATAACTCATCATTCAGTCATTAGCACTTTGCTAATATATGTGTATATATATAGTAGCAATGTCTATCGTTATTGTGATGGTTATCATCATCCATGTTACTATGCAGGTAATTGTATGATGAACCCATCGTACTTACTATTGTTCTTTATTGTGAATGTTATCATGCTGCAGGTGGTGGTGGTGGTGGTGGTGGAGTGCTGAAATCCTCAAGTTACTGACCCATTTCTGGTGCTTTGGGATATGCAAAAGATGGCGATTGTTTTGATACCCAAAGATTCCAACAGTCGGCTTCAATGAACCTTGTCCCATCAATGGGAATTCCAGGATCCTAAAATGGAGGTACTGTACCATATTTTTGGCCATATTTTGCTGGGATATTCCCTTACATAGGCCTTATATATGGTAGGTACCTCCAATCAATCGGTTCCTGAAATGGCCAGTGATCCCAGGAAACTCCAATAACCATCCCATCTATGATTGGGCCTTGATATATCCATCTTGACATCCTAGAATCCTCCGCCCTCAACCATCCCAACTCCATACCCCAACAACCATCATCCCAACTCGGGCAAGATTTAGCGCAGTTCACAGCCAAACTGAGGCAATTTCTCAATGGTTCCTTAAGTTTAAACCTTTTTCTTACGATGTTTCTAGTCAGTTGCACCAAATACATCACTGTCAGCAGTCCCGGCCTTGGGATACGCCAAGCCCCTAGAGCCCTTCCAATGCAACTCCTCCATGGTAAAGGCCATGGCAGCACAGGTGGTGCCGCTGCAGTCCAGACCACTCAGGGAGAAGGCTAAGGCGTCCAACCAGGCACGTAACCTGAGGTTGAAAGTCAAAGGCCATTTGGGATGGAGAAAAAAAATGGCTGAGGGTTTTTTGTGCAATTTGGCATGGGACATGTTGAGCTTTCGAGACAATGATTTTCAGGGTGGGTTGGGAGATTTTTGGTCATGGAAGTGAGATCAGCTATATCTTGATGAGCTGGGGCATGGGACCCATGGGATGATGTAGTCAAGAGCGGATGTGGAGTAACCCTTGGACATTAGGCTTAGGCAACAAAAGCAAATGGATGCTAAGGGTTACTCCAATCCAAGGGTTACTCCATATCCGATTAGCATTCATTTGCATCCATTTGGCAAATGGATTGGTTGCTAAAACTGACCAAACTTCTTTGTTCTTTCATTCCCAAGAAGTCCCAGATCGAGATCAAATTAGAAAAAGAATAATGAAGATGCAAACATGACCTTCATGGCTAAACGCCACCTTCAAAGAATAAATATACATCTATATAATTATATATTAAATATATATATATATCCATATCTCCATGCATCTCAACATATTGAGCTGTCGAAAGATGTCCATTTCCGGTTAAATCCTCAACATGTTCTTCATTCAAGCTGCTCAACTCCCTAATTAATTGTCAGACATGTTTTTATTGGTCAACCATCTTATTTGTTTAGTCAAACTCCAATGTGTTTCTTGAATCCCCTAAAATGAGCAGTGTCGAAAACCTTGTTTTACCCATTGATATCATCATCATATCCCAGTGATGATTGCTTTTAGATACCAACTATCCTGTGTTCCTGATGATCATTTCATTGTGAAATATCACATGGTAATCCCATTAGAACCCCGCGAAAAATCACCATTCTGGTTGGTTGAATATAGTGATTTTCCCATGATTGGTAGCGAAATCCCCGTTTTTTTCACGTAAGATATCCCCTGATGATCCCATTCTAAGCCCCCTGAGAGTAGCATTAAACCAAGCCGCCAGCTGCCCTTCCGCAGCTTCCCCTCCGCTTCCAGTTGATCCAGAACCTCAGATCCAGCACTTTTGCAGGTCATGGTCCTTTTAGGCTGATGTTTCCCAGATGAATTTACCCTCTGGTAAATTAACTTGTTGACCCTGAAAATCACCCATGTTTAATGGAAACTAGTCTTCCAACCCCGATGACTGCCAGGGTCTATGTTTATTTACCACAGGGTATAAGTTTTTTAAAAATGTTGTGGAGAAAAAACCAAAAGACAAGAGATTGTGTTAATACCTCAAATGGCCGAAAATTGTGCAAATGGTGGAGTTATTTGTTGTATTGGGTTTACCCCACATGATGAGGGATATGAACCAACCAAAGGGTGGGATGTAAGCAAAAATACCCATGGGGAAATTTGATGTGCCCTTAGAGATACCAATATCAGGTGGAATGATCCTCTCAACAAAAAACCAGCGAGGCCTCAACAGGATGTGAAATACTCAGGAGTCGTACAAGACCTCGTTCTCCACGGGATATGATTAATATCCCCAGTAAAAAAAAAAACATGGGATACCTTGGCCACCCAGCAAGGGTTTTTTTTCTGAAGCAAATCTGACATCTCAATAGTGAAAAGCTGATTTTCCAAAACATTCGGGATGGAATGGCCAAAAAAAACCATAGAAACTGCTGGGATTTCATATGAAACATCGATTTCAGCCACCAAAAATCGGTGAAATCCCACCAGTTTCACCCCAAAAAAACGAAAATTGGGCAGCCGCACCACTGAAAAGGGCTCCGACAGCTTGGGCGCGTCGCGGATGGCTGGCAGCAAACCACCCGGGAACTGCGCCGCGTGTGTCGTGTGTGGCTGTGGCGCAGTGCAGGGAATACCTTCAAAGATCATAAGGGATATTATTGGTGATTTACTAGTGATTTTATGGATATTAATGGTGATTTAATGGTGATTTAATGGGATGTAATGGGATTTACCCTCTGGTAATTTGTCACATAACTATGGAAAATGACCATTGAAATTTCTGGAATTTTCCCATGAAAAATGATGATTTTCCGGTTCGCAAAATGTCAGTAAAAACCAGACCGGGTATGGTGGGTAAACTAACACCCTGCTTCCAGCCTCAGCAGGCAATCCATCTCTGATCAGAAATATCAATCCACATGTCGACAAAATCTGTCGGGCACCCCAGATCATCCAGATCCATGGGCCCTGCCTTCAGAATGAGCGGCAGCAACTGCCACCTGGCTGACAAATTTGACTAACTTTTGGATGGAGACTGGCAATCTTGGCGTTCAAAATTCCCCCATTTATACACGATGGTCTTCTTAAGAATGAGTTGTTTTTGCCTAGCAAGCTAGATGAATTCAGATTAGAAGTGTCCAACCTCAAGCTCAATCTCCGGCTTAAATCCTCCATTTTTGTTGATGCTTCAGTGCCCAACTCACCAAAAAAGAACTTCGGGCCAGCGTCACTCATCATCGCGCAGAACGAGGCCTGGAATCTGACGACCCACCTGGAATGGGATGTGACTACTTCTGCCGGTTGGGTGTGGGAAAATCATCTATGCAAGTTATACAAGTTAAAAGCATAAAATTACACATGTGACACAAAAAAAAAATGGCCAAGACATGGCCATAAAATCCAGCGACATATTATGCACCGAAAAGAGGTTGGTATGTCACCCATAGAGATCTGGATTTGCTTTTATAGTCATTAAGAGATTAAATGAATCATCACCAAGTCTTGAGGATGGGAAAAGAGGTCGTGAAGTTTGGATATGGTCACCCCCCTAAGCCAGGTTCAGATGCAAAAATCAAGCTATTCACAGTTTAGGGCCATCTTCAGTTCTCGAAAATCGGTCTGACTCACAAGGGATTCACAGTTGTCACCATAGGTTTTTTCTTTCTAATGTCAACCCCGGATGAGACTAAACCATGGTTTATGACAATTAGGGGGGGGTACTCAGGTACTCCCCCAATAGTCATGATTTGATACTTAAATAGTACCTTCCCAATTAAACAGCCCAGGGCTTTATTAATCCAGGGTTGACATTAGTCATGATCCATGACGACTGGATGACTCGGGTATCCCCATGACAGAAGAAACGGAAACTTTTCGTCGCGCCAGGGGATGATTTGCCATGGCGCCATGGAAACCCAGCGTTAGTAAGTGGCTAATGACCAAAAAATAAATGGGGTATATCATATCTTTTTACATATATATATATGTATATATATATATAGATAACTTATTATATAACATGTAATTATATTGTAAGATGTTGTAATCATGTATAGGTTGTGATCATGTATTAGCCACTTACTAACGCTGAACGAAGACCGCACTACTCAAGTCTCATATACTCCTCCTGGCTTTTGCCAGGGGCACTACAGCCGCTGCCCAGAAGAACGCCCAGAAGCAGCGTCGAAATCATCAGCAGCCAGGAAGAGCTAGTGCAGCTAGTGGCTGTGAAGCCAGGGAAGTCAGGCGCTTCGTCCCAATCTTTGGAGACAAACTGCCCGGTGACATTTGCCATGTGGACCCTGCCGAGGAAATCTGCAACCACTCGCAGGGTTTCATCTGCATCGTCGATCATAGACACGTGCCCCGAATGAGGAAACCTACAGCGATGAGACCATGAGAGGGCAAATTGATTGGAACTAAGATGTCTAGAGAAACCCATTTCAAAACGGTCCAAATCAATGGTAAAAACACGATCTGAAAGATCGCTCCACTTGGAGGCTTGCTTCCCAGATTCGCTGGTTTACCCATCTTGGTGGTTAATATTGTTTAAACCTTGAAAAAAAAGAACAACGGCGGTAACATCTAGTGGCATGGGTCAAAACGCTGTTTCCATGGATTGGGTGATTGATGATGATTGATACATATTGAGGAATAACACAGCAATCTGTGGGCACAAAGTCCTTCGTCTGTGCAAGAAGGCGGGGTTGTCACTAATCAACCAACCAGTGGGAAGAGGACAGTTAAAATGGGACACCAATGGACCAACAGCAATTTCTTGCCGGTTTTACTAGTACTAAACTTACTAAATCATCCATGTTTCGGGATTCACAGTTTTGCAGAGTCATTTTCCCATATTTTCCCATTTCCTCTTGCTGATCACACAAAAGGGGTCAAACATCAGGTATACCAGGTACCCCAAAATGGCAATGACCAAATTCTGTGGGTCCCTGTTGAAAAAATCCATGGCGAAAGGAGTCGAAAAATTGGATAACGAGTACCAATTTTTTACCCCTTTTATTCCGAGCCTAAATAACCTTCATTCATTCTTGACATTTTTGTTGATGCCCATTTGGTTGGTTCAACCCCCATGTTCGATGTTTGAATTCCCATGTTTCACGGATTCACCAAGTTTTGATCATCATAATGTGGTAAACCCACTGGTAAACCTCCACTTCTGACGGCATTTGTCCAGTCATCTTCCCAGCAGCATCTTCCACTCCGAGTACCGGAGCTCCTGGTGCATTCGCCGCACCACCGAGGGTCGCATGGTATCGAAACGACCCGAAGTTAAAAGCACTGGCACCTGGCCACCGGAGGTGCTGGGGCCCTGGGGTGTCTGCCTGAGGGTTGCCATCCCACATCGAAGACCTAATGAATAGGGGGTCATCTCATATAGCTGTTGATTAGGTCAGCATCGCTAGTTGCCGCGAGATGGGTGCGATTCCAGCTTCTGAGAAGCCTCAAATACCTTCTGGCCATCTCTAGAGGTTGAAACTTCAACATCTTCGGATACTTGTCCAAGTGAAAAGGAGACTTTGTTGGAATGTGTGCTTGCTGGAGGATAAATTGTGGTTTTTTTTTCGCGTGTTGCCTTGGAATCTCAAGAACCAAAAAAAGTGCAGGGAATGGCCTTTCAGAGATTACCGGATTACCCTAAGGATCCAAACCACCAGTAATAAAAGTGCATATCAGCGCTAAATGATGGATACAACAAGATTTCAAAACAAACCAGCCAAACGAGGAGGTTGACAAGTGACGAAGACAGGTCTTGCCCATGGCTATGGGTGCACTCTGTAGCTGTCGATGACAAAAACATGAAACCTACCACTCCCAATCAATGGAACAAACATACGAGGCCAATAGGATACATGGATGTTTCATTCATAATTGCGGCTTCCCAGTCCTTCCCATAGTTGGCAGTCTTGGTTGCAAATCCCTGTTCAGATTTATCATAAGCCTATGAGACCATGCTTGTTGGCTAAATCCACCAATTTCCTTACTGGTCGTGGTTATAATATAAATCCCTGTAAAATTGGTATGCATTTTTTTTGCGTGTACAAAGCATCAAAGGGGATATAGAAGCTGATAATAATAATAATAATAATAATAATAATTGATAGTTAATGTAAAATTGGTTCGGTGTATCATTTATGTCTATATATGCAACCCCCCCCAGGACCTACCTTTTGTGTAGCAGATATGTTCCTGAATGCCTTGTTTTCCTTCTTATCTTATCACCTATTGTAGCTGGACACATCCTGCCCACATATGTAGCTGCTGCATAGCGCTGCAACATCTATATTTGACATATTTATTTCATTATATTTAATGTGTTCTTGTTTTATGTATTGAGACAGTTTTAATATATCAACACAAATTTTATATCTATGATCTGATTCTTGCAAGTCTGCTTTTTCAATATATTCTACAACATTTGGATTTTTTTTACATAACCTTTAGGATTTGCAGCAATATGACTAGGGGGATAGGTGGATTGAAACGGTGTTATCTGTTTTTACAACAGAGTATAGCATATTTTTTATTTTTTCGATGAATACAACTTTGTGTAAGGTAGTTGTTTATAATGACTACTGGTGGAATTCATGTTTACTAAATTTTCTGTAGCAATTTGAAACCTTTTGGCTTCTTAGCCTTGAATCTTGAATCTTGAATCCCACCCCTTTGGATTCAAGAATTCTTTTTTGGAATCTTGAATCTTGAATCTTGAATCCTACCCCTTAGATTTGGAGAAGAATGCACTCAGAATGCATTCTTTGCAAAATCCAAGATCCAACATTCCCACAAGACTTGCAAAAAAATGCAATTTTTGATCACCAGAAAATGCCTTAAATTGTAGAGTCCAAAATGTTAAGAAAAACACTGTAAATACCACTAAATTAGGTCTTGGGGGGGGTACCATATATATATATATATATGTATATATATATGTATATATATATATACATAAATCCCCACTATTAATGGACAAACAACCACATTTTTTTATTTTTTTTTGAACGCACCTTGCCTCAATCTCATGCAGTCGCCCTGTGACATTGAAGTCAGCCAGCACGCCACTCATAGTGAACCTGTGTTTGGGAATCATGTGGGGATAGGTAAAGAGGCAGCCTGAACCTGAAAACCCCTCGTTTTCACATCAAAACAGCATAATTTAGCTATGATATATATATATATACATGGATTTATGAATGTCCATCCCTCAACCTAACTCCAGTTGGAGCAACTCGGAGGCTCCCTGCATTGCAACATAGATGTCACGGTTCATCCCCGCATTGGATTGGACGAAGCAATCCTGGGGCCATCCCTGCTGAGATGGGAGCTGGGGATTCATCTACAGAGTATCATGAAATATCCCATGTGTTCCATCAGATATTGACCATGGGATATTCACAATGGGATACAATGGGAATTGATCCATCAGATATTGACCATAAGATATTGATCCATCTTCAGATATTCCCAATATATTGTATACATTCAATATATGTGTATATATATATACAATTATATTGATCCATACTTCCCCAATGTGAAATATCCAATGTATTGAATGTATTGTGTTTCCATCAGGACAAGTCCTTCACTAGCTGTGAAACAGGTTGGCTTCCAACGATGACCATCCCCCCTATTATGGTCGCGGTCTGAGTCGGCAACCAAAAGGTCTGAGTCGGCAACTATGAGTCGGCAACCAAAAAAGGGCTGAGTCGGCAACCAAAACGAGTCTGAGTCGACAACCAAAAGCGCTGATTCGGCAACTTTGAGTCGGCAACTAAGAAAGCGCTGAGTCGGCAACTAAGAAAGCGCTGAGTCGGCAACCAAAAAAGCGCCATTTCGGCAACCAAAAACCGAAGTCCTCTAAAATAGAGGCAGTAGCTCCGTTTGAAGGCTCCAGTCTCTGAGTCGGCAACTAAGAAAGCGCTGAGTCGGCAACCAAAAAAGCGCCATGTCGGCAACCAAAAACCGAAGTCCTCTAAAATAGAGGCAGTAGCTCCGTTTGAAAGCTCCCTTCTCCTGTAAAAGAGGCAGTAGCTTCGTTTGAAGGCTCCAGTCTCTGCTAAAATAGAGGCAGTAGCTCCGTTTGAAGGCTCCCTTCTCCTGTAAAATAGAGGCAGTAGCTCCGTTTGAAGGCTCCAGTCTCTTCTAAAATAGAGGCGCAACTACTATTCAAGAGGCTAGTGGTCTCCAAAAGACTCAAGAGCTTCTGTTCTCCTCTGAAATATGTGTATGAACACCCAGCGTATGAACACCTATGTCACGTCAATGAAGATGATCCATGAGGAACGCACTAGCAAGAACGTTATCACGCCCCCCCCCCCACCCCACCCCTCCACCCTTGGCCTTTATTTTTGGTTGCTGAAAAGGTCCTTTTTTGGTTGCTGACTCGGTCCTTTCTTGGTTGCTGACTCGGACGTTCTTGGTTGCTGACTCGGTCGTTCTTGGTTGCTGACTCGGACGTTCTTGGTTGCTGACTCGGTCAGTTGCTGACTCGGCTGCTTTAGTTGCTGACTCTTGGTTGCTGACTCGGTTGTTCGTAGTTGCTGACTCGGTTGGTTTTAGTTGCTGACTCGTAGTTGCTGACTCGGTTGGTTGCTGACTCGGTCAATGTTCCCCCTATTCTTGGGGCCAACGATCCCCCAACGGGAGGTTTCTCTCGTCGGCATTAGTACCCAGTTAGAGTTGGTAAATTACAGAAGTAGTAACCGATGATAAGTTGACGACACTGACGAATGTCGGAAAAACATGCCCAATGGCCCAATGACATACCCCCTGAATTTTCAGTAAAGGGGCCCATGTTTTGAAACGGCCATGTCAAATTCAAAACTCATCTTCCAAGTCCCATTGCTGCTGGGTTTCAAGTTGCATTTCACTGGTTGATGCCCCAAGAATTGATGGATTTTGTTCTGATTTGGTAAACCCAACAATAAAACCATACGCCATTCACTTTACCTTTGGGAGGTCTTCAAGACCATACTAACCGTACCAACAGCCAGGCATCTGGCGCTGGGGCGGTGCGTAGGGTGAAAAACGTCGTGAGCACCGCGCTGATCGTCTCATATTCAGCGCTGTTGTAGCGATGCGCAGCTTCCAGCTGCTGAATTCGTCCTGGAGACTGGATCTGTGCTATCCGAAATCATCCAATTTGGCCATTCTTAAGCCAACTTTGGGAGTATTGGATGGCATTGAATGGGCTAAGAACGGCAACCCACCAACTCATCCAACTTTGGATCCAATTTTCCCCTGGTGCCTTTCGATCATTTCCAGCTTTTGACCCTTGGATCCAAACGAAAAAAAAAGAGCGAATGGGGAGATGAACATCTACCAGCTATTTGGGGGTACCGGGCAGTGTTTTTGTCCATAGCTAGAGCCGTAGCCATTCGAAAAAGATGAATGGGTGCACTAGAAATAAGCAAAAATTCTCCGCTTAGTGGGCCCCAAACCCAGCCCCCATTCCGAAGTTCAATCCAAAGAGTGTAAGTGTAAACTTAGGATCATCTTTAATCCTGACATGCTTCCTGCCACTGGAGAGGTTTCAACCTGGACATCGTGTCCTTTTTGGAACAGATCGGATGATATGGGTTATATGGCCATGACCTTTCGAAACTTGGTTTTTAGGCGAGACTCCACCATTACTTTTTGCGAGATATACAAATCAAATGTCCCGAAACAATTCACGACAGAGCCCCAATCATTCCCAGACCTTGAACAAAAGGAGGCAGGCTGCCTAAGACTGGAGGCAATCGCCGGTGGTTGAAACGCTGGGCTTTGGAAGGGGCAGTTCAGCATGAAGATGTGAGATGTTGTGGGATGTTGCTACTGAAATATGGCATCTTTCTGGGAAATGTGGGATTCGGCATCCGATCCAAGCAGCCCAGGTTCCCCTCGTCCTTGTCCCACTGCGCGCGGATGTAGCTTTGTGAGTCGGACCTTTGAAAAAAAACGGATGATTTGGTAAACCCAAACCGAGTCTAGTTGAAATATCATCCAATTGATGGGTAAACACCACATCCAAATTCTTTGCATCAGAATAGTTCACCAGTGAGGTCATGAAAAATGAATAAAAATCACCCCCAACTGCCAGATATGGATCATTTACACTGGTTATGGCGGTTATGGGATGGAGTTTACCACAGTTGGAATTTCACCGGCAGATGATGGAAATAGATGTGTCTGCCTTTGTGGATGTATAATATTCATATACAATGCAAACATACTACCAACAAAATATCAGTATTTTTGTCACCGAGAAAGGTTGGGATACGAATCAACTGGGATCGGGTATAATTCTGCCTGCAAAACATGGACAGATTGACTGCCATTCGTAGTAATAAATTTCGTAAATCACGACAGTTTCGTACCAGTCAGGGGATCACCTTCCTGACACCAAGCGGCAAAGGTCCGGCCAGCACCATGGATGCGAGGCCCTTGAGGCTCTCCGTGGGAGCGTTGAGCACAAAGAGCTGGGCCAAGATGGTACCCCAGCTGTGGCCCAGAAGGTGATAATCATCCTTTCGTTCGGTGGGATGATGGGATGATGGGATGATGGGATGGACCGATGAACAGTATCTTGTTTGTGGAATTGTTCCATTCAAGGCACTCAAAGCATGACAGCTCATCGGCTTCCAAGAGTCCGTTTTGAGCAGGCAACCTCTATATGCCTTGGATGTGACCTATTTTGGTACATTATACATCATTATATATATATTATTTTTTTTTTAGGCAACATCTGGGTGACGTTGTCCTCGCGTTATGGTACAGGATGAGTGAAACATACACCCGAAGCAAAACCCTGCACGATCACGACAAGTCAAGTTTGCCATGGAGAGTGAAGGTGCTGCATGATACTGCCGGAATGCAGCCCGTGTCATTCAGCTCATGTCACAGCCTCTCTCCGAACGAACGATTTGCAGCAACTTCTCGCGTAGGACCGACATACTGGGATGTTCAGGCAAATGCAGCAAGGTCGCGCAGGGGGAAGCTGTGGGCAGACCTGACGGGCCACCCTTGCAAAAACACCAGAGGCGGACAGCGGCACGAGATCCGAGGCAGCTAGCTACTCAATGCGACGAAGGACTGCCCGAGCATTTTCGCGCTGCAGCGCGATGCTAAAGGATTGCAACATCCGCTGCAGTTCAACGCTGGCCCCTTCGCCACTTCGAGAAGACAAAGCCGCAGCCAGCAGCTGCCAAGTTTTCGAAGCAGTAGGGCCCCATCCACCAGCACAGCCTTCAACAACCAAAGGCAAGAACTGTAGGCCCTCGGTTGCGCAGGCCTGCCATGTGTTGAGGTGTTGACATTTGCGCTGCTCATAGTCAAGGGTAGCCCGCCCACCATCGGCAATGGAATGCGCCAACTGCCCTTGTCGCAAGCCAGAGGTGACTGCGAGATCAAACGCGGCAGGGCCGTGCAGGTTCCAGTTAGGTACCCAGACATCGGCCGGCCGTCGCTGGCTCGCAGGCTGGTGGCCAACATGGGGAGAACCATCCTCGGCGCCGCCCTGATGCTCAGGCCGCGGTGGCAGCAGGTTTGCCTTTTCAACTTCGGGCTGGAGGCCCGCGGTTTTGGCGCGAGCAGCCAGAAGGTTCCGGAGGTGGTTGTGCCGTTTGACTCGGTCGCCTCCACAAGGGCACACCCGGGCATGGTCCCCATATCTGTCAGCGGTGCCATCGCACAGCGGGCAAGCGAGGTCGGAATCAGCAACGGGCAAGCGCAAGCAGAGGCGCACCATGATCCGAAATAACGGTGTCACCACATGCAGACCCAGGGCTGGGCTGGGAACAGCATGAAGCCAAGCCCCCGCTCCGGGTTGCTGAAGAAGTTGGAAATGGGCCCGGTAAGCTTCCTTGCCAGCTGCAGGAGCAGCCAACTGCAATCCAATCTCGCGAAACTTGGTGGTTTCGTGAGACTTGGTGGCTTCAGTTTTTGCTTATCAATTTTGGAGCATCCAGCGTTGCTGCCAAGCCCGATGTTTCTGAAGCGGGAATGACAATTTGTCACATTTGTCGCAAACTGCATTGAGGCATGAAAACTTGGTCCAAAAGGGAAAAACCTGGAGTCTTTCGTCTTCCATTGACTGTCATAGTTGGACGACCCATGAGCCTACTGCGAACGAAGCCTTTCATGAGATGGATACTGATATCAGGAATGATCATCCTGGACGTACCTGCAATTCGGTTTTGACGGCGTTGGTTTCTACACTGCTCTCACATTCTGGCATTTATCTGACAGACATGTTAGTGTATTTATATATATACACACATGTAGATATTTGATTTGCAGAAATAGATTTCCCTGATATAACCATATACCTATCGATCTATCATCTATCCATCTATCCATCTATCTATCTATCTATTTATCTATCTATCCATACTATCTATTCATCTATCTACCTACCTATCTATCTATCTATCTATCGTCAATCTATCTACGCTCTGGCTACTCATGTATTGATTTATCTATGTATATATAATATAATATAATACAATATAATATAATATAATATATTATATAATATAATATATATGATATATATATATATTATGAAATGACAAAAACTAAGTCTGACCGTTGGGCCAGCGTTGGGGCGAAGACTTTGGATAAAGGAAAAATTCGCTCCAAATGCTGCAAACTCACCACAAGTTTTTCTCCGCTTGGCTCTCTGGCTTCGAAAAAATTGTCAAAGCTAGTCGACATTTGGATCCCTGCATTTTCCAAGTGGGAATCCATTTTCAACGGCTTGCCTGAGAGACTTGTGGGATTCGGAATTTTTCAAATCCACAAAAATGCGCCATTTTTCACCTTTCAGGTTCCCAGTCTTCCTGGTGTGGACAAACACCTCCACAGGGAAATTGAAATTGGATCCTAAACCTGCCCGGTTGAACTAAAACAAACTGCCCTTTGCCTGCAAACAATTTACCAAAAAAATGTTTGGTGCGGAGGAAACTGGGTAATTACCAAACAATTACAAACACATGCGGTGGGAAATCGTGGGAATTAGACAGAATCACAGCCGTGCCTCCCAGCGGCCATCAGTGCTCTTGTATGAGTAATCGGCATTCGGGCACCAAACTTTCGACTTGTCATCTGCAGAAATTGGCTTCTCATCACTTCCCAAATTCTTCGCACCCTGCTTCGGCTCAACCTGCCCGTCAGCAACTGCCTCTGAAGGAAGAGATTGGTCATCATCCAACCCTGCTGCAGCTGGACGTTTGCACTTCCTAGCTGATTTTTTCGGCTTGACCTGCCCATCAGCAACTGGAGATGCCTCCGGCTCAGCCATCTCATCAACAACCGGAGACTGCTCATCCACATGCTGGGTGTCATCCAAACCTGCAGCTGGACGTTTGCACTTCCCAGCCTCCGGCTCGACCTGCTCATCAGCAACTCGAGACTGCTCATCCAAATGCTGGGTGTCATCATCCAAACCTGCTGCGGCTGGACGCTTGAGCTTTTTAGCTGAAGCTGGCCGTTTCAACACGGCTGGTTTCAGCTGGTTTCCAGCTGGCCGCTTCTTTGCGTCTAAAGTTTCTTCAGGGTCAGATTCATAGAAAATGCTGCCGTCATCTCCTTGGGAATCAGGCTGAGGTTTGTCTTTTTCAGCAAGCTTTTTTCGTGCAACTGTCTGGGGTGGAGTTGCAGGAAGCCGCTCACCTTTTGCCGTCGCACTCGAAGCTTGCTCTGGAGACTTTTTTCCAGTCATGTCATCCTGCGAATCTTCCATGGCAAAATCAGGCTGCGGCGGCTTGTAGCTGGAATCGGCCTGGAGTCTGTCAACATGCGATGGAGACTCGTGCATGTGGCACTCTGGGTCTGATTGAGTGAGTCGGGCCAGCATCATGCGCTTCAGCGGTTCGCTCATGGCTCTCTTTGCCAATCCCCGAACATTCGGAGCTCTGAGAAAAAAACTAATGAGACAACCAAAAGCCGTGACCCATGTGAGCACAAACTTACACCTGCCAGCTTGACGGATCAATTTGCTGCCTAAAACAACGGGTAGTGAAGAGCTCACAGCAAATGGGATCCGCCAATCTGATCAAAGCGAGTCATGGCTGCCGCACTTCAGTGTTTTTTGCCGCTGCTGCTGTTGCTGCGTCCTTTGTCTCTCACATCTAAATCAGAACGCATTCAACAAAACCGCCTCAGGCGAAAAGGGAATCTTCAATCCCTTGTCTTTCACATCTAAATCACATTGGATCAGCGCCGGAAACATAAATGACATCTTCAAGTACCATGCTTGCCTGGTAGCATAAATTGTACAAGGGGTCCACCCCTATCACTTCGTCCGACCACAACCAGCAGCGAATGTGCTGATTGGCCAGCCTGGCCATGAAACCAATTCGCTCGAGAACTTTCGGTTCCAGGGTGCTCAAATACCCAATGTTTTTCATCTCCACAGCTGCACCAAGAGAGGCATGGCAAATGGGCTTGACATCCGCTTTCGGGCCCAACTCGGCGATCACCTTGGCTGCAATCACCGCTGTGCTCAAGTCAGCCAACGGCTTCGTTGAGGCCCACACACCGAGATGCTGCACCAGTTGAATTCCCGTCTCTTTCACGACTTCAAACTCATCTTCTACTACACCGGCATCTCGGGCTTTCAGGGAAAGCTGGTAGAAGCTAGCCAAAGACAACTTGATGTCGTCAAGTTCCGCCATGGAGAATGTACGGTAAGGAGAAAGGACCAGGGATAGCTGCAACAGATTGAGCTTTGAACATTGCGAAGTGGACGGAGAAAGAGGTTCAAGTTGCTTAATAAGTGATCTTTGAAGATATGACATGACCCTTAAGCCAGTTTGCACGTTTGTCTTTGACCACCCTTCAAATTGTCAAAGCTGCAACCTCTCTGTCTGACCAATATTCTTTTCTGATGACAGGTCGTTTTGGCAGGTGTATTAAAAACACATTCTGCAGTACCAAACTCAAAACACTCCACATGTCAGTGCGCTGACCCACACTGAATTGTAACTTCATTTTTTTCGCAAATACAGCACCCCTGGTCGTTTTTAATTAGCACGCCATTTGTTGACGTCTTCTCTCACAATTTCAAACAATAAACATACATCCGAGCAATCCTTAATGCTCGGTGGTCTCAAGCTGTCTCCAGGTTCCAGCTTCCATTCCTCGTAAGATTCGCTCCATGGACCATTCCACTAGCATGCGTTCAGTTTCAATGGCCGAAGCAGGAGCCGGCGGAGGAAGCAGCTCAATGTCGCCGATGTGCTGTGTCATTCGCCGCAATTTTTTGGAAGCTTTCTCAAACGACTTCTTGTTCTTCAACCAAGCACGGTGCTTCTGAAGCCAAGACTTGCGTTTCATCACCATGAAATGAAACCACGCAACGCTCCTAGGAGAAACTTGCAAAGCCAAAAAACGCTTCCGAGGAAATGTGCCTGCTGCAACTCAAAATTTCAATAGCTGCAAACAAAACATATATTAATTCCGAATTTGATATCGGAATTCACTGACGGCTTTGAAAAGAAAAATAGATCTGAGGATGGACCGGGAGGTGAAAGGAGAAGGGCGTCAAGTGTGACTCATTCTGTTTTGGCTCAACAAGCATCCTTTGCAAAAGTCTGCAAATTCTGCCAGGACGTGCCTTGGGCCCACTGCATCCCAACAAATTTGAAAAGGTATGTATATGTGCCTGGTGTCGACTTACTAATCTCTCACACTAAATGTTCTCAAGGCTCCTCTTTCTGGCAGAAAACATTGGAAAATTCTAGCGCTCATTGTCTCAAACTTTCCTCCTGCCCAGCTCGCCTCATTATGCTGCGGTTTGCAAAATCAGCAAGGATATCCGTATCAAAGACTTTAAACCACAAAATGCTGGGCAGGAACTCCAAGCTTTCGCCTCTACCGCCCGGCTGGACGCAGAAACTCAGTGAGATTCAAAGCTAAGGAAGGAGGAGGTCACGCAATTTGAACAGGTTGATTTGGCTTCAAAGTGATGCCCTTCAGGATCAAGCAATAGGGCTTCTGCAGCTTGATGCAGCCACTGACCCGCTCGAAGCGGAACCGGAAGACCTTGCCAATCACAGTGCTTTGCTCAACCTCCGACATGCAGGTGCCAAAAAATGACTTGGAGGAGGTTCGCTCACTGGTGCCTGCCAAGCGCTTGTACTTGTGGGGCTGCTTCAAGTTGACTCTGAAGCTATCACCGCCCCCAGACTCTCCAGCCGCCCGGGCGCAGTCCGTGTAGGAGATCTTGTATTCGGTCAGGCGCTTCACCCTTTCCAGGTGAATCAGAAGCTTGTAGAGCGTCATGACTTCTTGATGGGTGCACTCTGGAGTGATCGAGCTGTGCTCGACCTGGACAAGCGTTTTGTCCCCGTCAGGCCATCCGAATGCAAGTCCTTCAGCTTCATCATCTTGTGGAACATACCTTGGGGGTCATGATGGTTTCTGCAAGAAACGAATAAAAACCTACGGCCCTGCAAAACCGCGCAGGTGTGCGGGCAAAAAGTTCGACAAAGAATCTGTATTATTTTCCTGCTTGCTATCAGCTAAAATAATTTTTGGAAAAATTCCCTTGAAAAGCATTCGCATCTCAGAGGCAAGTTGCTTTCCGGTGCCAAAGCCACCCAAAATGCTATGGCGAGGAATGGCTTTCTGCTTGTCTGCCATCATGAAATTTTTTTTGGACGCAGTCTTGATCAGCTCGACACCAGTAATTTCCGAAGCGGTTCGGATTGTCACAGGATCAGCTTCAGACAGCTTGGCAAAGGATTCAAACTTCACCAATTCGGGTTCACCCTCGGCTTGGTTCTCAGATTGCTCCGGCTCATCCTCCACTTCAGCTGCCACAAGTTGACTGGCCCCGGCAGAAGCTCCACCGGAAGACTGTTGAATCATGGATGCGAGCATGGTCTCGTACTTCTCAGTATGGGCTTGGCGAAGCTCCTGGAACTCTTCCTCGAACTTCGGCCCCTTTGCTTGCCACTGGCGAACTTGGTCAGGATGGATGACCAACTTGGTCCCTTCGCGTACAAGAACTTCAAGACTCATGGAGTCAACAGATCTGACACACTCAGCGCCAGGGATGCTTCTCATCTCCTGAAACAAGGAAATTATGGGGGAGAAGATCATCAATTCCTGAACCAAGCACTGGTTCACGCTTAAGAGAACTAGCTCCTTAAACAAAAAAGCCACCAGCTGTGCCGTGCCTCATCAGTCAGCACACATTCCGCGTCTTCAAACTTCTTGCCGTTGAAGCTGATGCGCTTCGAAAGCCATCCATCAAGCAACTCTCGGGCAACGCGAGTGCGTGCGTACTGTACGCCCATTGCTGAATCAAGGGTGTGAAGGCTCAAGTAGAAAAGGTTCTCCCACATGAAACCACCACCTTCTCCTGCCAAATTGCCAGAAAGCCTCAAATTCAGAACCTTGGCTGAGTCGCATCTGCTCTCGAAGATGTCTGAGATCAAACCCTTTGGTTAGACATGATTCTGTTGTTGACATCATCATTGCTGTGCTATGATACATGAACTGACTGATCTGACTGACTGATTCCTGGTATACACCCCTTCAAACATCCAAACACCTTTGTCCTTGCCGAGAAACTGCTGCTGCAAGCTCCTCCACGTACCCTGTCAGGTTAACCACCAAGCAAGGGGACCTCACGCCAGAGTGGCGGAACAGTGACTCGATCAGGAGTTGCAGCCGCTGTTGGCCTTTCTGTGCTGCAGTCTGCTCCGGCGATGGTCTTGTGCGGTCAGCCAGTTTCAAATCGCTGTCTGGTGATGCTCCCTCGGGAAGGAGTAAGGCGCTTGACCGTGGGAGAATGGAACACGGCGCACCATTCTCACCCTCAGCACGTCCTACTGGTCTTCCACAGACAGCCAGCTCACTGTTCAGCCAATGATTCTCATTTTTGGATTCGGAACTGACAACCAATCGGCCAGCAGCCCACCTTCTGACGCATGAGCGGCCTTCTGATCGGGGCTCGCGTGTCAACAAGTCGATAAACCTGGTCTCCACATCCAATTTCTGGCCGAATAGCGACTCTATGATCTGCTTCTCCTCATCCCAAAGCCCACGGAGAGAGCTATCTCTGGCCAGATCTGGCAGGAGAATCATGCACACGTTCTGCTTGGAGGCACCAAGGTTGTTGCACAGGTTGATGCCTTGAGATAGGATGTCGACCTTGGAAGCTTGCCGTGCCCCTGGAGCGTTGTAATCCACAAATCCAACGACGTGCACATCGTCAGGGGAAGTATGAGTTTGGTTGGCCTGGGAACACGGCGCGAAAATTTTGGTTAAAACAAAATGGCACAAATTCACTGCAGACTGGCGTGATTGCAAAGTCCTGGCGCTCCAAAATGTCACCTTAATATTAAATATATTCAAATTTACTTCGGGTGATCTCCACCAATAGATACTCATGACACACGTTGAAGCATTTTATTTGAGATACATCGTCCAGTGTCCGACATACAATATGACATGTCGACCTATCTGACAATCTATCTGGCAAATGCTCCAGCACTTGACCTGGCATTCTATCTAACATATTTTCTGAGATGTTTCCTCCCATGTTTTGTGACAACCCATCTGGCATTCTGATTTTTCTGACATTCTAGATTCTAGCTGACATATATATATTCTACCATTTGGACTGATAGCTCATATCCTTCCCAAACATGTTCATTGACATTCTACCGAACCTATGACCTTATATATAATCTGGATTCTCTCTGGTATATATCCAGCCTTGGCTACTGGCATTCTGTCTGACATTGTTTCTAACAGTTTATCTGACATATATATTCCAGCATGTATGCCGACATTTTGTCTGACAGCTCTTGTCATTTAATATTGCAAATTCTATATGCCATAGCTTGTGGCAGTCTATCTGAAATATATATATATATATATTCGGATAACTCCCTGGAATTTCAAAATCCATGGCAATCTTTTTGATATTTGTGCCAGCGTTTTCTTCAACATTTATGCTGATTTGGCTTTCTATCTAACACAAATTCTGAGATTCAATTTTAATATGACAAGCCTATCTGACAGGTATATCCGTGATTCTGACATAAATCATGAAAAATTATCCGGCGCTCTATGTGGCTAGTGGTCATGATTGCTCACATTGTTTCCAACATTTTATCTGGCATGCTTTCTGACATATACTCTGATATCTGACGTATATGCTTCTATCTGACACACTTTCTTCCACTTTTTCGACATTATGTTTGCATTCTCCCAGAGCACACAAAGTTTAATAGGTTCGGGGTTAACGTGCTTTCGTAGTCTTCGCGCTGCGGGCAAGACTAACAACACCAAGAGCTGGCATGAATGATTATTTTGCATCAGACGACGGGCACCTTGCAGCAACAACAATAAGCGCTGCTTCAAAATAAACAATCATGGTAACATGGTTTTGCAAGAAATCTTGGACTCGGCATCGGCATTGGAAATTGAATGACAGAACGAGTTGTGTAGATTTGGAAGCTGACAGGTGAATCAATCAATGTCCTGATGCAACGAGAACAGCTCAAGCCAGGAAACAACATGCTGCTTCATCTTGGAAATCTCACCGGCGGCATGCTCAATCTTCTCAAGCTGCAAGACTCGGAGATAGCAGTCCTGGACGGGTGCAAATTAAAAAGATTCCCTTGGTAAATTGCTTTGTGACCATCTCAAACTGAAAGGGCCGAACCGAGCATCAAAACTGCAAAATCAAAGCCACGAAAATTCAATCTGTCCTGGTATCCCTTGCAAGCATGCTCACCTTCTGTTGCCAGCTTAGCTCGTTGCTGAACCTGCTTCTGGTGCAACTTCTGCCGGACAAGCCGTGGGGCAGCTTGCGCCTGTTCCACCTTTCCATGATCTCTTTTAAGAGCGCCTTTGAAAAAGGACCACTGAGCTGCATCGACTTCGGCCTGCTGGGCCTCTTTGTCTTCAATTCTCTTCTGCTCAGTGTCAAGCAAGTCCTTCTTCGCGGATTCCTGTTCAGAGAGCAACATGGACATGGCAAACCGTGGTGGCCTGGAAGTCAAAAGTTGCTGAAGGTCAGCGTCCCGCTTCGAAGAAGAACTGACTTCTGCCAGCCATTCATCAACCTTCTCAGGGGCCATCCTGGTCTTTATGTGAGGCAGCAGCTGGTCAAAAAGGACGATTCGGTGGCGCAGATCCTGCACTTCTTCTGCGCTCAGCCTGTACTTCTTTTTCATGGCAACCGGAAAATTTGCTGTTGATCTGTTCCAGTGCGCTAGGATCCTCTGGAACAAAATCACTTGGGCTGAGTCTGTCATGGGAAGGCTCCAATCAATGGTCACACAAGGCTCGTTTGGCAAAGGAGAAGGAATGCAATCATCCATCGGCGACCCAGATTCAAGAGGCAGGGAAGAGCCAAGAAATGCAAAGCTGTATGTGCCAAAGACCTCACCGAAAGGGCCAAAAGCCCACGCAATGTCATGAGTGCTCTGAAGAAGAACTTCAAAAGCTGCGTTGGATGTTCTGCTGAACAGGTTCTTCACCGCCTGAAAAACAAGAGCGGGCAAGATTCCAATCCACAACAAGTCTCTGCAAATGGTTGACTTACAAGGCCCCAACACAAAAAAAAAGCACTTGCTGCTCCCTTTGTTTTGTTATAATGAGGAACCTGAAAACTGGCAGAATGTATCTTAACATGCGCTCTCTGTGCAAAAATATGATGAAAGCCACTCTCTGACTGGCAAAAGAACCACCTAAAGAAAAAGCAACGATCATCGAGCAGGTTAAAATCTTCCTGCCTGTTTCTTCCTTCCATCTATCGAGATGCTTCCGACCCCCTCTCCCTCGAATGCTGCAACATCTGGGTGTGCGTTGTACGCCATCATCGCTTGATCCAAGGTGATCCCTTCGCCCAAGGTGGCTAAAATGGATGCCCATGTCAAAGAACTCACTGGCTGAACTTTCGAGGCCGTGTTCTGGCGAACTATCCTCGAAATTGTGACTGCCATCGTTGAAGTACAAGCAGCCAAGCGCCAGGTTCTCAGGCTTCAAAGGAGGCCCAGGCAAACGGACTGCTAAGCTCTCTCCCTGACACATCAGGGAAACAACTACAACAACAACCTTCGATGACCTTTCCACTAGCCTCAAAACAAGCCACTCAGACCAAGAGTTATGGAGAGCCGTCCGCTGGACGGCTCGCCATAAGGGCTGCTAACATCTTAACATATGTTCCCCGGGGTTGGAATGACAGATAGAGACCGTGACAACGGGCTGATCGACTGAAACACTCTTATGGAGAGCCGTCCGCTGGACGGCTCTCCCAAAGTTGGGCTGTGACAAAGATGGAATTGGGATAGCCGATTGGTCATCGCACATCATCCAATTATGACAAGATAAAATGTTCTCAAATGATGAAGTGTAAAATCAGAACACACTGAAGAGCGGGGCAGGGGTGTGAAATCATCAGCTCCAACCAGCAATCCCCCTAAACGGTACTGCCGCACCCAAAATGCCATACAGTTTAGGGTTTAGCCACGCTGGACCGTTTAGGGTTTAGCCACGCTGGACCGTTTAGGGTTTAGACACGCTGAACACTCATTGTAATCATCACATGGGCCTGGGTGCAAAAATGTTATGGAGAGCCGTCCGCTGGACCGCTCGCCATAAGAAAAATCTCGCCATAAAAAATATCTCGCCATAAAAAAAAACTCGCCATAAGAGTTCAAAGTCAAAAGTAACAAGGATTTGGCCCAACAAATGTTCTCTCAGCCAGGAACTTCACTGAAGCTAAACCATCGGACTGCATTGGTGTGGAAAAGGGCAGTGGCAGACAGCCTTTGCTCATGAAGTATTCGGTCCAGACTACTGTTTGGAAACAGACGAGCATGATAAGAATCCAAGAAAGGACTTTTATGAACCATATCCAACTCACACATTTTTTGCTCTGCTGATGACTCAAGCCATGACTTGCAAGGGTCCGTCGTCCTCTTCTTCGTCTGAATCCTCATCGGCTCGCAAGACAGTGTAAACTCGAAACCTGGGCGGCGCTGACCAAGCCACTGCGGCCTGATGCCCTACATGTGGAATGGGGAAACGTCGGAGCTCCAAAAAATTGTACCTGTTCGGTCTTGGGATTCTTGGCCATGTTCCTTCAACCCAACCTATGAGGTAAGCCTCTGCATCCAGTGTGATCGAACCTTGCCTGCGACAAACAGGAGCTTTTGCCTTCAAGTTCTTGCGCAGGGTCTCTGAGATGGCTCTCCGATCAGAAACACCCACCGGCTGTTGGAAGCTGGATCGAAGTTGCGCAGAAGTCGCTGCACTAACAAGGCAAATCACACGGAAGGGCTCTGGGTCTGCCATGAACCGTTTGCACAAAAGCAGAACATCACTTCCATGGGGCTGGTGATCAATGCCTCTCAGCTCCTCAACCTCACATGAACCAAAGGAAACCGGATCGATATCCTGCCTCAGGCAAAACCGAAGCTGGCCCACATTTCCTGATAGCTGCATGCAAGCTGTGAAAACAATCCCTTAGCAAAAAACAAAAAAAGTAAAATCGACAAGTTCAACCAATGAGATCCATGGCCATGGTCTTGGAACAATTCAAGTTTCGTAGGCCCAGGAGGCGAATTCCAAGAGCACCGACCCAATCCTGCCAACAAGCTACCTCATCTAACTTGTATGCCTGCGTCGTGACCTTTGTTCGTTTTGCTAACTTCCGATGCATATCTGGCTCATGCTCCGGACGGGTGGCGCTGTCCAACAGAGTCACGACATCATCAGGAACAGAGAATTCTTGAGGGGTGAGGAAAGCGGCAACTTGAGAGAAATACTGGTCCACGTCTTCGTGGCCTTGCAAAAGCCAGATGCAAAGAAAACAGCGAACTCAAGCTAGACCTCCTAACTAACAATCAGAACAAATATCGAAAGCATTTGGGGCCTATCGAGGCACTGTGCCCCTTCCTCAGGAAGGAGCAGGAGAAAAAACGGAAGATGCCTAAGGCGACTGTCAAGGCTGCGAATGCAGCGACAAACTGATTCTTTGTCTCTCTATATGTATTGTCAGCTTGAAGATTTACTCCTGCGGGTAAATTCTTCTTCTCATACAGAATCTTGTCCAAAGTGCGCGCCACCTGTTCCATAGTGCATTCGGAATTCTTCTTGAGGTCCTCGTCACCAATGGCTAGGCACAGGGCCCAACCGTGGGCCCAACAGGCTGAGACGTGCAGGCACGGTCTGTGCATCGTGCTGAAAAGTTTTGTTTGCCTCTTTTTGGTTCTTGGTGTTCGGAACTTTGCTTGATCCATACCATCCGTTATCAAGCATAGACAGCTCACATTGGGAAGGGCACCCAACCTGAAGACTGGAAACTTAAACGAAGTTCCTTGCCAAAAAACAATGCGTTAAATCTTTTTTTACTTCAAATGACACCCACCAACTGAAGATTATCAAAGCGATGAGTTTTTTACTTCGAATGACACCCACCAACTGAAGATTATCAAAGCGATGAGTTTTTTACTTCGAATGACACCCACCAACTGACAACTATATTGCGACATGACATCTGACATACATTCGGGCATTCTATCTGACACATGTTCACGTTCTTACAAATTAATTTACCCAGCATGTATTCTTACCTTTATGTGACACGTATTCTGGTACGGGTACGTACCAACAGAAGCATAAGGCCCAACATGGCCCCGACCTGACCCGAAAACAGCCTGTTCTTTGAGGCCCTAATATGAAAACTTGAAAAGATCACGCCGTTTTGGTCCAACATAGGCCCAACAAGGCTCAAGATGGCCCCAACATGACTCCAACATGTCCCCAACATGACCCAAAATGACGTGTTATTTTAGGCCTTGAAATCACCCCCAAAAGAACACACCGTTCATAAGCTCAACATAGGATCAAGATGGCCCAAACATGGCCCCAACATGCCCCGCAAGAGCCCAACATGGACAAAAATGGACCCAACATAGGCCCAACATGGCCCCGACATGACCCAAAAACGGTGGCGTTTTCAACCCAGACTTAATTTTTCTTAGGTCTGGGTTGAAAAGGCTGAACATAAGCCCAACATGGCGCATTATGTTTGCTTTTGTTTTGCCTGCTATGCAGCCTGTCAGGAAACTCAAAATACAATACGTTAACTTTATCTGACATATATTCTGACATTGTACCTGACATTATAACTAAGTTCTTTCTGTCTGGACATATTGCGAAAGCTTGCGCGTGTGGTTCCGACTTGGGGGCAGCTGGGCTGTGAACTTGGTTCGGTTTTGTGGGTGCCCTGTTTGCCAAACCTGAAAAACATAGTGGCACAAAGCAATCGCGGAGGAAGCCCAAAGCAGGCGCGTGGGAGCGAAGACGTGGAAATGCTGAACAGCACATATCATAAAATCTAGAGACATCTAGGATAGGTAGTGGGAACAAGGGCCACCAGGGTCTCCAAATAATAACTTCCAGCCATAAACATTTTAGGCTAAGGGTTCCATAGGCAAAGATGTGATGTGGAAAATGGCAAGGCGCTGCCCATTGGCAAGCAAATCCACAAAGTAGGCCTGGCTCATCGATCTAAAGGCCCAATAACACTGACGATCGAGCCATTGAGCCAATCGGTGGCGAACAAGCTCCCTTTCCTCAGCCAGCTTAACCTCCTTGGACTTTGCCTTTCTGATGCGCTCCCGGGCTTGGAAGCAATAGTCGCACTGAGCGTGCTCACTCTGCTTCCGAAACCTTAGGTGGCCATCTCTCAAGCCTGGCCCCAAAACTGAATTAGCCACTCGCATGTAGGTGTTGTACGATGCAGGCTTAACTTTGCGCGATTCGGCAAAAGCCAAATACTCCCAAAAAAGGTCAGTCCTGTTCCCATGCTGGAGGCACCGCCTGGGTCCAGCAAAAGTACCGGGACCGATCATCTGACAATCCACGTCCGTGGCGAAAGTGTTCAGGGTGCGCCCAATGCTATTGACAAGTCGCTGGAGTTCCTCTGCGTTTGCACCAGCATTTTGGCAATCTTCCGGAAAAGGTGTTTCTAAAGGCTGAGCACCTCTCTCTTTGATGGTGTGCCATCCTGTGGGCATAACTTCTGCAGAGGTATGGTAGATGTGGTAGAAGAACATGACAATTTCTTCCCAAACCTTTCCCGTGTCACCTCTCAAAGAGAAGCCGAAGGTAGGGTGTTTCTGCAATGGTTTTCTGGCGTCATTCGTGTAGGCAGCTTCTCCACGTCGAATTCTCTCAAAAGTGGATCCGCCTATACCCAACAAAGCTGCTAAAGCTCGACGACAAACTTCTTTTTCCAGGAATTTGGCACTGTCCCTCTGACGGGGTGCGTGCCGGGCTCGTTTCCGAGCCCTCTCGTCTCCATCTGATGAATAAAACAGCTCATCTTCACTCTTTTCCTGATTCCTGGAACCAAAAGAGCTGGCTTCTTCGTCAGAAGCAAAGAAGGTTTCAGGTTCTCCGCCTGACTGCTGATCAGGACTTGATGCGAACAAAACATCTGCATCCTCATCCAGGCTGGCAGTGCCTGATGCTTGCTTGTCACCACCATACCAGCTGCATGTCACGCCTCGGCCACCCATAGTTCCTGATCTGCTATAGACACCCAAGGGAAAGATTGAGGAGCGAATCTAGAAAGCATTGGGAGACCAACAAAATGGAAGGTCTCAGTATGATGTAATTAATTATTATGTATGTCAACGCCGATTCCGAACCCACAAGTTCCGAGGCTCTTTCCGATCTCGGTCCCAGACTGAAACTCTGCTCTTGCTTCTTCAACTTGTGGCTGGATGTCTAAAAACTGCTGGAAACACACCCGTGCCACGCATCTGCAACTTCTACGCAGCAAAGTGGACAAGGGCACTCGGCCATGGCTTGTTCTGCCCATGGCGTGTTCTACTGGGACATACAATGATGACAAACATATCCTCTTCTCAAAACCTACTTAACATGGACCACTTGGCAAACATTTACTTGCGACTGCTTCAATCTTTCCTCTGACACGCAAACTGCTAACTCTGCCTGAATGTCAAAAAGCCTAAGAATAACATCTTGACTTCATGGAAGTATATATCATTGTTGAAATTTGGCCTACTCACTGATCAAGCCGATCGGAAGGCAAGGCCGAATCTTGATTCAGGCGGTTTACAAACAAACATAGCCCGGTGCCAAGCCCTTGCAAGCCTCTCGAAATCTGGTGGAGGCGATGCTCCGAGCGTAGTTGATGATCTCTGACATTGCAACGGACTTGCCCCGCCAGAAAGCTGCATCCTCGAACGACCAACTCAAGATCGACGTCTCAAACTCCAGGCCCTTCTCTGGAGGCCAAGCCTGAAATTGTGACATGGCTGGCATGAAGTATTCCTCTTGGCTACTCAAAGTTAAAGCTCTCCGTGCGCAAATTGCGTCTTAAACTTAAACAAGGAAACACAACCCTTCAGCCCGTTCAACCAGAGCCTCAACTTTGCAAAACTCCTGCACAAACTCACCAATATCATTGGAACTCGTGAGCCCCACCCGGCTCACAAAGTTGGCTGACATCTCACATAGGCGATCGGGATCTGTCCACGCACGTGCAGCCAGCTGCTTGAAAGTGCCTCCATGCAAAACAGGCCACTGGAAAAGGCCATCCTTGACCTTCAGTTCGCCCACATCGTCCAGGTGGATGGACTTGTCAGAGCAATGCCGCAAGCTGAACAAATTCTCAATCAACGCACTGGTCAACTTGATGACTGCGGGTGCCCCCTCCGAAGACATTGGCACTGCAGCTGTTTCCGGACCAGCGACAATCTGAGACACCTTCGATTTCTTTCTGCGAGGTGCCATGGTCAACGCTCACAGCAGCAAAACCCTGACACGTTGGTTGAACCTAATAGAATGCGGGTGCCCAAACAACTTTTCTCGTCTCATTAGTTCACACTATGTCATCAAGATTGACATGCACCAGCAAACCATTTGCATTGAATCCTGCAAAAAATGAAGAATGCGTTCGACTCTTAATGTAAGAAACCTCAAGCATGATGCGCATCCAGTCAGACATAGTGAAGGAGACGCAACAACCACAATTTCACTTCTCAACCGTGACAGGTGAATCGGCTGCGCAGCTTTGAGTTGCTAAGTACAACTGACGAACCAGCTGCTGCCGGCGACCGTGGAACACTGAATACACCTGTGAATCTAAGCCCAAATCTTAAAGAAGTTGAATCTGCCAATGGCAAATTTCTCAGTTGATCCTACTGCTCAATGGACATCACTGCTCTGTCCCAGTCTGGCGCCAGCTTCCCAAGGCAGCGCAAAGTGCTGCAGCAGCAATAGGGGCGGAAAACCTGAGCTGTAACAGAAAACGTGATGAGCTGTAACAGAAAAATTGATGTTCACCTAAACGCCAGTTCAAAGGCCAACATGAACACAGGTCATGGGCGAAGCACCTTCACTTCCGGATTCCACACATGGGTTGAGCCTTTTACCAAGCAACGAGTTACCGCACAAATCTGCAAGGTTTCGGTGGCTCAAAGTCTCCATGCCATATCGCAACCATTCCTCCCGACCAACACCTTGAAGTTTCATCTTCTCCAACACCCAAGTAAAGAGCAACCGGAAACACCCCTTTGCGGCGATGAAAAACCAAAAAGACCGAGATGTTGTGAAGGTCGGCTTTTTAGAGCGAGTTCCTGGTTTACCACCCCTTGCCGTAAAGGAATTTCAAAGTTGGGTAAGTTGTGGCCATTCTTCAAGATCTGCATACCCATAACCATCCAAAAACCCTTGGCCTGTGGTTGAAGCAGCTTCCACCGTGCGCTCACAACGTATTTCCCAGCTGGCAGGAGGCAGGGACACAATGTCGGATCACTGCGTGTCCATGTAGCCCTGTGGAAATTTTGATCCTCAGCGTCCAGCAGCCAAAATTTGTTCCATCACATGACAGATTTTTCCAAAGGACAAAAACCTGGTGAGCAGAAACCTGGTAGGGTAGTGGTGGGAAACAGGTGAACTCGGTACTGAACACAAAATAATAAGGATCGACCTGGATGGGATACTTGGACTCATAGGGCGTGTAACCTGCAGCTTCCAGCTCAGTAACACTCACAGCCAAGATGGCATATTCACGGTCGGTCAAGGGCATGTTGAACTTCCGGAGAATATCCATGTTCTTCTTGACTTTGGCCTTGGCTCTTTGGCTAGGCATTGCCCATCTACTTCAACTCTCTTGGCGTCATGCCACCTAGAGATAAGTGAAACCTCTGAATCTTTCTGAAATGAACTTTAAACTGTTCAAGTTCGAAAAAATGTATAATCGGCCTTTATGATCTTTGAAGAAAAGTCTGAAAATGAGGTTTCTATACATATCTATTGTCAAAAGTTTTGAAAAGGATTTCAAAGGTCAAATCAAGGCAAATGCTAAGCTACTTCTCCAAGAACCTTGCAGCACTCTTTGAACCCAATCTTCCACTTCTGCCCAGAGCCAGCTTTGGTTTTGAGGGCGGTGCCATTGTCCACAACGGGATCTTCAGCATGATCCAAAAACATATGGACTGGAAGAAGGCCGCACTTGAAGGAATTGAAGATAGAGCCGAGCAACCTGTGATACAGACAAAAGCCATTAACTTAACCACCCCTTTCCTTTGACCGCGGGCCCTTTTGGAGAGTTGTTGAGGGAAAATGTTTAGGACAAACAACGCTGGAAAATGACAAAAAAAACACTTTTGCAACCAACACTTGTCAAAGGAACTTCGTGTTTCCTTCGATCTTTTTCACATAGATGGAATACACCCGGGTGCGGCACTGCCTGAGACCAAACTGCTTGCTATTGACCGTCTGGTAGAAACCAAAATATCCACGAATGTTGAACTGGTGCTGCTGAATCTCAATCGGCTTTTCACCGCCAAATCCTCGCCGCGAGTGCGCCATCACCCCCACATTCTCGCAGATAATCACGCTCGGAGATGCATAGTCCACATAGTCCTTCAAAGCCTTGAACCCTTCTCCAGACTTCGAACTTTCATCCAAGAAGCTGCGAGCTTGCGAATTTTGCTTCGACAGGCTCTTGCACGGGTACCCATCGATCACAACATCCACCTTCCAGGCTGCAATCTCACAAGGCTCAGGATGAATGAATGGGGGCGGTTAAACAGAATAAAAACATAACTATCAGCACTTAACTTCGGAAAGGGATTGTTTAAAAAATCAGGGCTTGAACCACTGCACCTAGTTTTTCCAAACATCATGGCCTTGGGAACAGTGGCCATAAACTGGCACTTTGCATCAAAGGCCTTGCCCGTATGCAAGTCCTTCATATCGGTGAAAACCTTGGTATCCGGAAAAGCCTTGCGGAGCCAATTGATTTTGAAGGGCTCGCACTCACAGCTGAAGGAAAGAACCAAACGCCCAGCCTGCCCAAACACGCAGGTGGCAAAAAACAAAACTTTGGAGGAGTATGCGGTCCCAGGACACCTTGAAAATTAGTTCAGTTTTTGTCTCCCAACAAGTCCTGGCCTTCCCAGGAGCATGTTGTTCCAAGTACTCGTTGATGGAGGTGATGCACATCTCAGCTACACCCCAACCAGAACATATCGAGGCAACAGTCACTTCTCGATCGGCGAGGGCCGTCTGGATTCGCTGCACAAGTTCAGGCTGGCTGTCCAAGGTGGCATTGATGAAGTTGGCCACCTGCAATCATCCCACGTGATCTCCAGAAATTTTGAAGAAACAGGGAAGGCCATAACAATTTCCTCTTACACATGATGGCAGTCTAAAAGAACAGAAAACAGAAGTGAGGTAAGATGTTTCAAAATAGCCCAGGTACCCCAACCGAGTCCACTGCAGGAAGCTGTCGCTCATCCCAGCCCATCTCCTCTGTCTCAGTGCCTTCAGCTACGTCACAGTCCGAGGCATCTAAGATGTCACTCTGCTCGCCATCTTTCCTGAAAATGGAATTTTGTAACCACACCATCTAGAAAATGAATACACATTAGTCAAACTTTTCGCCAATTCAAAAAATATGTTTGGAAACTAGATTCTGTTCCACATCTTCACTGTCTGAAGCATGCATGATCTCTGGCGACGGTTCCCGAACTGCAGCTGCAGGGCGGCTGACTTTGGCTGCTGGCCGGCGCATGGCTGAACAACTAGCAGCTGGCCGCTTCATTGCTCAGGCCGGCGCAACAAGAACTGTCCAGCTTGAAACAGTAAATCTTTGTGAAGTGACCGTTGACTGCGGCACACAGCGTATGCCCACTGAGCTACAGCATGCAAATAAAAAACGATGGCTGTGTTAAAACTTATATTGAACTGTTTCTGACGAAATCCAACCACCACATGCGTTGTGGCCCAGGTGCCCTCATGGTTGCAGCCAGCAAAGCAAAAAAACAAACATACCTTCCAAAATCGAAAATCAAAAGCCCCTCTCGTTTTGATTAGCTACTGCCTTTAAAGATCTTTAAAGACTGTCAGTTTGATCCTGGATTCCACAAAAAACACGAAAGAAATCCGCTGCCTCCCGGCCGGGCGTGAGAAACCTAGCGTACCTAGAGTAGAGAAACTTCCGGCCAGGCGTGTAAGAGTCCATGGCCATGGATTCTGTTTCTTGCAAAAGCGCTTGCAGGCCGTGACAGCCTTGCAGACACAATGTAACTAACTGCACAATAGGCGTCAGCAATTGCAGTGAATCTATGCACATGCTAGCACACATACTGATCTGATGGTCACCTCAACCCAGCCCGGCATTGAAGCCACCAGGTTTCATGAAACCACCAAGTTCCATGAGAATAGATTCTGCGTGACCACCACACGGTCCAGCGCCTTGGACAAAACTTGTTGTCGTAAGGAAGGCGGCGCGGGGACAGGGAAGTGGTCAGCAGCCGGGAGCTGCGAATTCACGAGCTGGATGGCGGCAGCAAATCCACTTTGATACGCTGGGTCGATCTCCTGACAAAGGCTTGTGGTGGCAAACACGGATGCGGCGTACCCAGCGGCAGCATGAGTGGCAACAGCACGCAACCCAAGCCCGCCATGGCTGGTGGAGAGGGTAGCTTGAAGCCAAGCTTCGGCAGTGAGTGGTCCAGTGCAGGCAGTTTCCAAGCAGGCCCGGACGGCCGAATCAAAAGCTATAAGTGCCGGGGCAAGCCCAATGGAGGGAGTGGCACGGGTTGCATAAACTAAACGGCAATATGAGGCACATTGGCGGAGGAGCAGCAAACTGGTTTGTGCATCTCCCAAGTTGGCCAAAGCTTCCAAGAGGGGAAACGTCTTGCTGACCCTCTGAGTGTGGGTGTAGCCTTCACAAAAGGTGGCGTCGCCGATAGGTGCTCCCAGCAATTCGAAGCCACCACTCTGGTTGAAGGGCATGTTTGCAGGAAAAAGCGCTAGGTCGACAGCGGCAGCCGCGCCGCCGCAGGTGACCAGCTCACACTTGGCCGGGTTTACCTGCAACCCAACCTGGCGAGCCGCTGCAGTGAGTCGGACAAGCCCGGCGCTGACTTGCCTGTAGTTTCCCGCAGGGCAGACATCATCCAAGTAGCTAACCACGAGTGGGGGCTGAAGATCTGGGGCCCCCCCACGACGAGCAGCTTGAAGCGCAGGGTGAAGGGCCAAGGAAAAAAGGAGGGGGCCCAGCGGATCGCCTTGTTGCACCCCAGCTTCTGAGGACAAAGGATCTCCATGAAACAAGAGTCGCGAGTGGTGCCCGTAGCACCCTTCGGCCCAAGGGGAGAGCCCAGGCAGCCGCAGGCGAGTCTCGCGAAGGAGGGCTGCCCTATCCACGGTGTTGAAAGCGTTGCTGAAATCAATTTTGAGAAGCACTTGGTCCGGGATGCCGGCGTGCCGCTGCACCCACTGTCGGGCTGTGTGGACCACCGCTTCTGTGCCATGACGGGTGGCTACCCCAACCTGCAGGGGACACAAAAAATCCCGGGCTGGCACCCGGACATCATTGCAGAGGCATTTGGCTGTTAGCCGCCGCAATGTCTCACCGACAGCGATGGGGCGGACGTCATCGGCGCCCTTGGGCAATGCATGAAGGGTGGCCCCGGCAAGGTGAGGGGCGACCTCAGGCAAGGCGTGGACCGCCATCTCATCGCCGTGGGCAGAGCCCAAAGCCTCACGTAGGTGATCTCCGCGCAAGCCAGTTGGCCCAGCTGCACTGCCGCGGCTGAAACTCCGGATGGCATGGACCACATCCTCCACCCCGAGCTCTGGCACGGCTGGCAATGGAGGCGGGCCAAGCGCGACCAGAGCAGGTCTGGCAGGCGTGGCTCGAGGGTGCTTGGCTTGGAGTTTGACTGCCACGTCGTCGGTGTTGTCCAAGAGAGGGGGGGAGACCAGAGCCGCACAAGCCCGGGAGAATTCGCCTTCAGAGGCAAGGCCACAGCAGCGCCGCTGACGGCCGGCCAGGGCAGCTTCTTCATCCAAGCCCCTAGAACTCCGCGGGCGGCGGACACCGAGCGGTTCGTTCCAGAGTTCTTCCCGTTCACCGGAGAGCCACCGGGCACACCGTCGCTGGGTGAACTGGGCGGCCTGCAGTTTGTGCCGGTGCCCGCCGCGAGGGGCAGGTCGAAGCACGGCCTTGGGGAGCATGAAGAGGTCGCGCCAGGCTTGCAAGGTATTGGTAGCGGCAACCTGGCCAAGGGCTCGAGCAAGGCACTGGGCCCAGGCAGAGCGAGCAGCCTTGGGGACATGGCGAAGCACAGGGATGCGCTCGGCAAACAGTGTTCAAGTCCGGGCCGCTGGCTAAGACCCCAGCCACGGCAGCAGGAGCAGCAGTTTGCCGAGCTGCGGGGCGGCAGCGGGGATGAGCCCCATGAAAGCGGGAAGCCACGAGCCCGCCACACACAGAGCAGAGGTCGAGCTGGTGCTGGGCCCGGTAGGCAGCTGGAACCTCTCCGTCAAGTGTACCAGCGGCATGGTCTTCCAGATGCGGCCTCATTGCTGCGTGGGAGGACTCCCACGCAGCCCGAGAGCACCGGCCGGGCAGTTCGGCACAGGACACAGGACCCGGCTGTCCCGGCGCCGGGCGGGAGAGCGCTCACGGGCAGGAGGGCCTCCATCAATGGCCATTGGGGCCCGTTCGCTGCCGATGGGCGTGCCAGGGGCTGGCCCAGGATGAGCAGCCTCGCCGACGCGGACGCCAGCATACCCACAATGTCGGTGCAAGTGGCGGCGCCAGGTCAGCGGGGGCCGCCGCGCAATCCAATGAACCCGACGGCAACGCCAACGTACGACCGGAAGTGGCCTGACCCACAAGCCGGAAGGGCAGAGAGGAGCAGCACTAGACCCCCAACCGGCGACAAAGGCCTTGCCCAAGGTTCTCCGTTGGCGGCGCCCGGCAAACGCCAATCCAAGGAGGAGGTGCCTGTGCTCATCCGCGTCGGTCGCCGGGATGGGTGGGGGTGTCCAAAGCAGCAAGCACTCCAAGGAGGGATCAGGTCGGGACGCCAAGAGCTGCGAACAAAGCAGAAGTGAAGGCACCAGCCAATGTCGTGTCGGACATCTGGATGCCATGCGCGCCCTGCAGGCAGCAGCCAGGTCACCGCCCCCGGCCGAGGCAGCACACCAGAGGTCCTTGGACGTGGGGCTGACGACACGACGCGGGGGCGGTCACGCGGCCGCCACCTCGCAGGGGCAAGCGAGCGAGCGAGCGATAGGGTTTTAATAACTATAGAGACTATGGGTCAAAACCCTGGCACCTAGTGAACCTCAAATGGCTTGAGCCAAATGGACCTATGGACCTTCGAAAGTATTGAATGGTGGGATCTCAATCTTGGACTTTTAGACCCTGGTTGGTTTTTGGAGAAATCGAATAACCTTCAAAAAGTGATGCCCTTGCGATGGTTTAAATCCGCCGACTGATTTCTAGACCAAAAAAATGACAAGAGTACATTTGATGTCGTTTAAAACTTTGTTTTCTAAATTTTGCCAAAAAAACACAATCTGCTATAATACGTACTGGGAGGGAGTGACAAAAGTGTAGTTTGTTCAGTTTTGGGGCTGGGGTGTTGTTTCTTTAACCAGCGGCACATCATTGTGGGAAGTTTTTGGGTGTAGAATAGTTTTTGGTATTTGTTTTGCCTCAAGTTTTTTTTTGTTGCTTTCTTTCCTGGTATCATTTGCCTTGTATTTGCAACAGTTTGGAATTAGAACCTATCATTTTGCATGGTATTTGCCACATTTTGGCATGGTCACTTTGCATTTTGCATGTTATTTGCTACATTTGGCCATGTTCGCCTTCCAGTTTGCATGGTATTTGTCACATTTTGGCATTTCAACCTCTCATTTGCATGTTTGCTACATTTTGGTAGTTGAAACGTTTACGTGGGTCTCTTGAGGGTTCTTTAGGCTTTCATTTAGGGTGTCATTTAAGGTTTCATTTAGGGTTTCATTTAGGGTTTCTTTAGGGTTTCATTTAGAGTTTCTTCAGGGTTTCATTTACGGTTTCTTTAGGGTTTCATTTAAAGTTTTTTTTGGGTTTCTCTAGGGTTTCATTTAGGGTTTCTTTACGGTTTCATTTAGGGTTTCTTTAGGGTTAGGGTTTCTTTAGAGTTTCATTTAGTGATTTTTTTCCGGTTTCATGTAGGGTCTCTTATCGGGATTTTTTATCAGGAGTTCCAAACGTTCAAATGGGTTTCTTTAGGGTTTCTTGAGGGTTTTGTTTAGGGCTTCATTTAGGGTTTCATTTAGGGTTTCTTTAGGGTTTCTTGAGGGTTTTGTTTAGGGTTTCTTTAAATTTCATTTAGAGTCTCTTTAGGGTTTTTTTAGGGTTTCTTGAGGGTTTCATTTAGGGTTTCATTTAGGGTTTCATTTAGGGTTTCTTTAGGGTTTCAGTTTGGGTTTCATTTAGGGTTTCATTTAGGGTTTCTTTAGGGTTTCATTTAGGGTGTCATTTAGGGTTTCTTTAGGGTTTCATTTAGAGTTTCTTTAGGACTTCTCTAGGGTTTCATTTGGGTTTTTTTAGGGTTTCATTTAAGGTTTTTTTAGGGTTTTGTTTGGGATTTCAATTTAAGGTTTCATTCAGGAGTTCATTTAGGTTTTCTTTAGGGTTTCATTCCAGGGTTTCTTATCAGCATTTTTTTTCACGATTTCTAAACGTTCAAGTGGGTTCGTTTAGGGTTCCTTTAGGGTTGCATTTAGGGTGTCATTTAGGGTTTCTTTCGGGTTTCTTTGGGGTTTCATTTAAGGTTTCTTTAGGGTGTCATTTAGGGTTTCATTTAGGGTTTCAATTTAGGGTTTCATTTAGGGTTTCTTTAAGGTGTCAATTTGGAGTGTTGTTTACGGTTTCTTTGGGATGTCATTCAAGGTGTCATTTAATGTTATTTTAGGGTTTCATTTATGGTTTCTTTAGGATTCATTTATGGTTTTTTTGGGGTTCATTGATGGTTTTTTTGGGGTTCATTTAGGGTTTCATGTAGGGTTTCTTATCAGGATTTCTTGAAGGTTTTTTGGGGTTTCACCTAAGGTCTCTCTAGGGTTTCATTTAGGATACAAACAGAACAATGAAAAACAAAGAGACAGTAAAGACAGGAAGCAAAGAAGCAAAGGAGCAGGAAGTAGAGCAGAAAAAACACATGACTGAAGAAAAAGAAAAAGTAGAATAGTAGAAGTAGAAAGGCACAGAAGTACAAAAGCAGAGAAGCAGGGAAAGCAGAGAAGCAGGGAAAGCAAAAAGCAGAAAAGCAGAGAAGCAGGAAAAGCAGAGAAGCAGGAAAAGCAGAGAAGCAGGAAAAGCAGAGAAGCAGGAAAAGCAGAGAAGTAATGAAAGCAGAGAAGCAGAAAAGCAGAGAAGCAGAAGCAGAAAATCAGAAAAAACTGGAAAACATAGAACCAGGTACCCAAAAAAAAACCTGCCGCGGAAGAAAAATAGCCCTCCGAAGTTTTTGGGCACATGAATAAATTCATTGCAGTAGGTTTCTTGCGGTGACCCCGAGGGGATATCTTTAAATATGACAAATAATTATGGTGGAGAGTGGAGAGCACAATTCTGGAACTAGCCAAGGCCACCACAACAACAACAACAACAACAACAACTCCAAAAAAGGATGAAGACTCACTTTTGGATTTTGGCGGAACCATGATTTATCACAAAACATGGGTAAGGCAACCTCCCATTTCACAAGCCAAGCATCCAAGTTCCAATGGCGCAGAAGCTCAGGCAGCTCAATCTGCGAGTAGTACTTGGTATCCAATAAATGCGGAAAATCCTTCAGGCTCCGCTTGGGCGGCGCTGATTCGCCACATCCTGCTTGATCATAAAAGATCACCTGGCTACTGCTTCGGTGATGTGAACTTTGGGTGATCATCAACTGGTGGATAACTTCGAGCCATGGGAGCCCTTTGGTAGTTTAACATCGTCACCAGCACCAAAGGTGCCGAGGCGTGATAGTTTAGCAGCAAGGGATACGAACGGACAGATCTGTCAGACTGCTTTATACAGCTTCAGCCAGGGGTTTGCATGTTCGAAAGGAGCGGACCGCCAAAAAGTGAACGGGATTGCGGAAATTTGCACATTTTGCCGATCGGCTCAATTTCGGTCAAATGCACCGTTTCGATCCGACATGGCCGCAACATCGGTTCACTTGGTGCCAACCCAACTTGGACCCACTTGGCCCAACTTGGCTCCAAGATGGCGCAACTTGGCTCCAACTTAATGGGGGACATAGCCGGCCCAATCCGAAATCCTCAAAACGCCATTTTCACTAGTAAGGCTTTTTTCTCTATCAATGACGCTTCGTTTGAAGCAATGTTCCCCATGTTGTGTCTCTGTTGGGCTCGAAGCTGGTCGCCAAAGGGTCCCAAGCTGCGCCACTTTTGGACGTGACTTAGACTTCCATGTGGATCACATGCTCAATGCGACACGCTTTTGGCTTTGATGGGGGTTCATGCAAGGCCATGTTGCCCACATTGCGCCTATTGGGCCCAGCTTCGCCCCCAGATGCCCCACACACAGGACCAAGTTGCGCATGCTAAGCCCAACGGGCCCAAGTTGCGCCATGTTCGATCCCAGTCGGGCTCAAGTTGGGCCCAAGTTGGGACAACTGGCCCGAGTTCGGCACCAGTTACGCCCAAGTTGGGCCCAAGTGAATTTGTTTTCAGCCCAACTTAAGGCCAAGAACGGCCAAGTTTAACGCCAGTCGGCTTCCCTCTCTGTCCTATGAACTCCTCTCCGTCCTATTCCCTGGGCTTGGGCGGTTCTCATCCCGAAGCGACTCAAATATAAAACGTGTAGATGAAAACTCTATTAAACATTGCCGTTTTTCATATGACCAAACGCTGGTTTTGACTGTGGTACATGAGATCACCCACCTTTGATTACAAATCATTCTGATTGGTCATATCATTGTGGATAAAAGATCCAAGTTTGTCCCATGTCTGATAGTCGTTCACACCCCACTTCATACCCCTTTTCTTCCATTGTTCATGGGTAAACTCGGGCAAACATGTCAAAAATATCCAGTTTATACCCAGTTAACTTTAAATAATGGAGTGGAAACCTCCATTTCAGGACCAAAACCCATTAAACATCTACATCCTCAGCACATTGCCACCTCGCTGACGCCGTGGCATGCCAGGTATTTCAGCGGCAGCAGGTAGTTGTGAGGCCAGGACGGGCCCCCATGAAGCGCCACCAATGGGCCCAAATGAACTGGGGATGACCTGCAGAAGAATTGCTGGAAATCAGTGGGCATCGGTGGAAAGCGATTGTTTTGATGACCATGCATGGTCTAAACTCCCCCATATTTACTCGAAAAGGTCATGGAGATGACCTCAGGCAAGAATTTGGTTTGGGACATGAACTTGGGCACAAAAACTATGGAGGTTGCATGGTTCAGTATGGTTGGACGAAGACAATTCCCTTTGACCAACCAGGGTAAGGGTCGAGTATGTTTTGAAAAAAAGACAATTACGATTTCAAAAAAGCAGAGCCACTAACCTACAGATTTGTTTTTTTATTGATCTATCATTATCTGATCATCGCAGTCCTTTAGACCAGCTTTGAGTTGCGCCTTGCTCGGTAGCGCCAGTAGGTTACAGGAATGGACTGGATGGCAACTTGTCCTTTGTGGACCGTTAACTCGCATTGTTCCGACACCACTTCATCACAGGTCCAGAAAGTAGCACTGCAGAACAAAGTGAAGCTGAAGCAAAGGATTTTGCGCATGGCAACCGCAGGAACAGCTGAGGAAATCAATGAGGAAGTGCAGAGGTAATCTTGGCAGAATGAGGAGACAATCGAAGTGAGATGTGGCTACAAGAACCAGCATCTGTTTCAGGTCGGTATAGGCAATCTTTTTGTACCCAAAAGTAAGATAAATTCTCAAACGTGACCACAGATTTCGCAGTCGCCTGGGCCTTCAAATTTTGACCCTTCAGGTATTAGAGGTAGCATGTGGTCGCCAGGATTTGAAGAAAGCGGGCGGAAAACCATTTTCACAGAGGTTGGCTACTTTCCGTGTCCAAAACTGCATGCACTTTTTCGGGTGCCCCATGGTGCAGTTGAATCATATCAGCGGGCCTTGGCTCAAAACAGCTGCAGGTCAAAGTGTGAGAGTTTGAGACCCACCAAGCCACAGATTGATGGGTCAGTACTCACTTTCATTCCCAACCATTCCATGTTTTGTGGGTGAAACTCATATTTAAGCTGGTCAGACATCCCATGTTGGTTCTACTTCTGAGACTTAGGTAATAGGTTGAAAATTTTGGGGGTATCTCCACTTCCAGCACCTTTTTGCATAGTTACCCATCTTTGTATGTCTAGTCTTCCTGCAGCTGCCATTTAGTCTTCAAGACTGCGACCAGCTTCAAATGCTAGAGGTTTCAGGTTCGTATACCCTCCTGCATTTGCAAACTGCAAATGGTCAGGATTTGCCTATCATTCTTCCAACTGCGACCGCCATTTATTCAAAGATAGTCTGCTCAAATCTTAGGAAAGCTCAGCCGTCAAGAGGATTCGTGGAATTTCGAAGCACAAGGGATCAAGCACATTTATGTGACAAGGTGGTTTTAAGCCAGATCCCAGGTGACCATCCCCCACCTCAGCGAGAGGTCTCGAGGCCTTCACCACCTAGCAGAACATTTCTCAAATGGGTGCATGCATGCTTACACCATATTTGAAAATACTATATTATCAAGAAAAAATAGTAGTCTAAGCTCCGTGTTACGAACTTTTGAAATGTAGGCAATACATCAAGACAACAATACGTCCCCACAACAATACATCAAGACAACAATACATCCACACAACAATACATCAAGATAACAATGCATCCCCACAACAAAACATCAAGACAACAATACATCCCCACAACAATACATCACGACAACAATACATCAAGACAACAATACGTCCCCACAACAATACATCAAGACAACAATACATCCACACAACAATACATCAAGATAACAATGCATCCCCACAACAAAACATCAAGACAACAATACATCCCCACAACAATACATCACGACAACAATACATCAAGACAACAATATCCCCACAACAAAACATCAAGACAACAATACATCCACACAACAATACATCACAACCACAATAGATCACGGCAACAATACATCGCAGCCACAATAAATCCCCACCATAATACATCACAACCACAATACATCCCCATAGCAATATATCACAACCACAATGCATCCCCACCACATTACATCACAACCACAATACATCCCCACAACGTGAAATCACAAAAACAATACATCACCACAACAGTACACCACAACAACAATACATCATCTATCTATCTACCTACCTATCTCTCTCTCTGTCTGTCTATCTATCTATCTATCGATCGATCCATCCATCCATCCATCAATCATCCATCCATCTATCTCTCTATCTATTCTATCTATTCTATCTATTCTATCTATTCTATCTATGCTATCTATTCTATCTATTCTATCTATTCTATCTATTCTGTCTATTCTATTCTATCTATTCTATCTATTCTATCTATTCTATCTAGTCTATCTATTTTATCTTATCCTATCTATCCTGTGTATAATATCTATCCTATCTATTCTATTCTATTCTATCCTATCCTATCCTATCCTATCTATCTATCTATCTATCTACAAATGACTCCATCCATCCATCCATCCAGCCAGCCATCTATCTATCTACCCATGGACGTATCTATCTATCTTTCTTTCTTTCTATCTACATATGTACCTATCTTTCTTTCTCTCTATCCATCCACCCACCCATCTTTCTATCTGTCGATCCGTCCATCTATCTATCTATCTATCTATCTGTCCATCCATCCATCTTTCTGTCTACCTACCTTTCTATCTATCTATCATCTCTCTCTCTCTCTCTATCTGTCTATCTATCTTTCTTTCTATCTACATATGTACCTATCTTTCTTTCTCTCTATCCATCCACCCACCCATCTTTCTATCTGTCGATCCGTCCATCTATCTATCTATCCATCCATCCATCCATCTATCTAACTATCTATCTATCTGTTTATCTTTCTATTTGTTCTATCTATCTATCTATCCATCCATCCATCCATCCATCCATCCATCTATCTATCTATCTATCTTTCTATATGTCTGTCTATCTATCTATTCAGGATGAGGCTGAATTTCGTTCGTGGCAAGTTGAAATTCGTTTTTTAAACTTGTTTGGGTTCCCGGCCTGTGCTATTTATCTCCATGGCTGAAATCTGAATCATAGATCTGTCTATTTCCTGAAGAAATTTTACAATGCATTGAGAAGGGGTGAAATTCAAATTGCATCCCTTTTGTGTCTTTGCTCAGCGCGCCTCGGCTTTGACTTGTTCCTCTTCTTCAAGAACTTCGAGAGCCGGCCGGCTTTCCAAAGGACACGTGGTTCGATTGGTCAAATCCTAAGACGATGGGATGCCTCGTGGGACTCTGAATCGGGCCCTACGACCCAAAGGGGCCTGAGAAACCAGGCCTCTGCTGCCATCAACGTGATGTCGTCTCCGTAGGTGCCAGATTTGTTCATCTCATCAACGGAAGAACTGTAATCAGAGAAACGTAACTCGTTCCAAGTCCCGAAAGAGGTCAGTCACCTCCACCTCCAGCTCTTGACTGCGAGTCACAAAAAGGTTCGGTAACAACTGCTGCGCTGGGGCGTCCTGCGAAGACGACAGCCAGAAGAACCGCGGCATCACGCGCATCGAAGGCGGTTTGCCTGGAAGAACGTGAAGGCCAGCAGGACCACAACATCCCAACAGTACTTTTTTGTCTGGAAAGTGTACCCAAAAGCCCAACATTGAAAGAAGCCTTCACCCGAAGTTGGTCCATCTCATCAGAATCCACACAGAACGGTACTAGAACGCGATCTTCAAGAAGAACCGCATAGTCTGTCAAGATGTTTACATCAGTTGGCGGTCCATCTATGAGTGCAGAAGCTCACCCAAAAACTCCACAGAATATCAGGCTTATCCTTAGACAACAACATGTGTCTGTAATTCTTGATCTGCTGCACCGACGGACGAAGATCTGCACTGATTTCTTTGAGGCGCATGTTCTTCAGAGCTCGAAGGGGGGTCTGATTGGTGAATGGATTGGCGAAAACTTTTATGCCTCACAACATTACGACCCCACCAGCCTCCCTAAGGACCGCTCACAGAAACTGACAGATGCTGATGCAGCAACTAAAATCTGATCACAGCAAAATCCAATGCATAAAACTGTTGAACTCGCGCCAGCACATCGCAGCACATTTCTGCATGCGTGGCAAGTGAATAAATCCTTTCCTCTGGGATAGACAACTCTTCAGTATCACGCGGTTGAACTACCAACCAGGTGTAAGTGAACAAGAAGCAGGTCTAACAAACAGCAAGTCCGAACTACCGAACCAATGCTGTCAAGATCCATCCAGGGATGTGTGGATTGGAGCCTCAGATCAAATTGAGAGTACCACGTACAAATAACTGCAACACACGTTCAGAGAAAAAGGCCGTCGAATCCATGATCCAATTGCAGTAGGGAAACAAAAAGGACGAAAGGCTATTTGAGGGTCAGAGTGGGGCAGTTGGGACATGAGCACGTGGCCTTGCAGATCTCGAATCTTGACACCAAAAAAGGCCACGAATCAAACTCAAAAACGCAGCCGTCAATATGTTGTTTCACACAAGTGTTCACTGCGCAAATGCTTTGCTCCACATAATGTCTTTTTAAGACTGCCACTATGACACAAGAGATGACGGGCTAATGTCCAACTCTGCCACCAAACTGGTTCAAAGATCTCATCTAAAAAGCATGCTCGATCCGAAGGTGGAAATTCAAAGTTCAAATCAAATGAAGGACTGGTTCAAACAGTGAGTTTGAACTGAATGCAAAATTTCAGCGGTGGAACATATAATTTTAAACCAAACAGGAAGCAGCAGACAGAACTCAAATGTTAGCTGTTGCAGTGTTGCCACAAGCTAGAATTCAAATTATAATCCTACAAGTAAGGAAGCTCTGGGATAACAGCTGAAATGGATGTACGGATGGAGACCGTCTTCCCAATGGTTTGAAATTCGAATTTCCAACTATGGGGAAATCGAAAACAAGACATGTTTATCCAGGACGAGGCTTTGAAAGTCAAATTTCCAACTATGGCGAATTCGAAAAAAAGACATATTTATCCATCCTTCCATCCACCCATCCAACCATCCATCCATCCATCCACCTATCCATCCATCCATCCATCTATCCACCCAACTATCCATCCATCTATCCATCCATCCACCTATCGATCTATCCATCCATCCATCTATTTATCTATTTATCTGTTTATGTATCTATTTATGTATCTATGCATCCATCCATCCATCCATCCATCCGTCCATCCATCCATCCATCCATCCATCTAGCCATCCATCTATCCATCTATCTATCTATCTGTCTGGCTGTCTATCGATCTATTTACCTATCTAACTACCTATGTATTTATCTATGTTCCTTTCTTCCTATCTATCTATCTATTTGGACTTTGCATCTATGTATTTACCTATGTTTTTTCTTTCTATCTATCTATTTTTCTGTCTGTCTTTCTATCTATTTATGTATCTACCGATCTGTCTATCTGTCTACCTATCTATATTTTTATGTATTGATCTCGTTATTTAAATATCTATCTATCTATCTGTCTATCTATCTATCTATCTATTCTATTCTATTGATTCTATCTATTCTATCTCTTCTA